AGGCCATTTTGCCAGTTTTGTGTTAGAGTCTGAAGGGAAAATAGAAACCGGGATTATTGTTATTATATTTTTAATTATTAAAATTCATTAAAATAAATTAGTATTATTTTAGAAAATTAAAAGCCGAGTTTCTTGAGAGGGAACAAAATAATAGAGTAGAGTCAAGCGTAGAGCCTATTGTATGCGTATTGTATTATCACATATAAGTAAAAGACAAAAAATGGTTAAAAAGTATCTGAAAGATAGTGAAGACTGGTTCATGATCAGGCTTAAGCCGAGATTTGGGTTGGTTTCTTTGATAGAGCTTTTCCAATAGATCGTTGTTGAAGACGTTGGTGTAAGTTAGGTTTCCAACCAAAAGTAAAGATTGTGGATGGTTGTTGAATACTCTACATAATGGTTTCTACCTTGTAGATAAGTCTGTAAATTAATGTAAGATTCAAAAGCTTGATAGACGCCGCTAGATGTTGCTTAAATGGGTAAGTGATAAAATAATATAATCATACAAAATTCAAATTTTATTTCCAAGACATTAAATAATTTAAATTTTAGTGAACAACTTTAATCAAAGCAAAAGATCTTGACGGTATTAGGTCATATACTAACGATTTTACTCTCGATTACATGTATTTTAAGGAGAATAATCTAAAATTCTTTAAAAGAAAAAACTTTAAGCTGAATTTTAAAGTCCAATCTAGGCCCGCTGTCATATATCTTCCCGCTTCCTTTGCTAACTCATCTAACTAATGGCTGTTGGGGTTCCGGGTCCCCCGAAATCGTGATTTTTCTTTCGGCGCTTTTCTTTCGCTGCCATGTTCCACTGTCAACAGAGTTGGGAAAATTTTTATTTATGCACTTTGTAGCGCCAAAATTCTCCGGCGGCACCTGTCAGTCAACACTCGGGATAGCACAAACAGTTAGGCGGCTCCGGGGCCAAGGGAGCAAACAAAGGAGCGGAATCTGGGTGGAAGAACGCGTTCTGGATGGACGATGGACACTGGCGGCTGAATGACTGGCAGCCGCTGACCATGGACATGCACACAAAAAAGATTCGTTAGAAGAATTTCACTCAGGATTCTAAATACGGCTTAAAATGTAACCAAACAATTTTGTTTCATTTCAGAAAATTAAAAAACAAAATGGTATAATACATATTTTTATACGAATTTATGTAACTCGTATAATAATACTGTATTTAAACTTATTATTAAAAGAATTAAACTCATGAAACCTGTTTGAAATATTCCACTTTAATAATAAAAAATATATTAAAATATTTATTAAAAATGTTTAATAAATTTCTATTAAAAATGTAAATAGGTTTCTACTTCTCCCTTAATTTTTTTCTGTAGTGCAGAGGCAAACAAAATGACCAAATGGGGCGCTGAGGAAAGTCGAGATGGGAGTGGAAAAATCGGGAACCGAGGGACTGCGATGGGATGGCAGACGAATGCCAGTCAAAGTCGCTGCTGACTGACACAGTTTGCCATTTTCGAGGAGGAAGCTGTTTGACCAGTAGATGAAGGACCGGGGAAACCGGAGCAACCGGGGAATCCGGGGTATAACCGGGCAATTGGTAAGTGCTCGCTGTCTAATTGAAGTCAAGTGCGTTACTCTGAGCCACTTCTATCCAACGGATGCCCAATCAAATTCGTTTCGCACCAAATCCAAACCAACTTTGACATTATGCAGCACAAATTGTGTGCAATTTTCAGCTGAAAGAGGAATGCCAAAAGGAGGAGAAATATATATTTCACAGCTCAGAGAAGGGAAAAAAAAGGCAGGCATACAAAAAAACTGGCTCAATGAGGGCCCCAAACCTCCGGCCCAAACTGTCTGCCACATCGTCTAAAGGTAACAATTTATATAATGAAACTGATTTCAAATTTGTGATGTTCGTAGACTCGGGGAACTGACTCGACTCGTTTGCCCAATTGCAAGCCCGGTCCAGTTCTCGTTCCTGTCCTGCTCCCGACATTGGTAATTACCGGGTACTGGCCAAAACAACAGTTATAGCCACATAAAAAATAAGTAAAAAACTCACGATAAGTAAGGATGGGCGCAGAGAAAAGTCCGAAATAAATAAAAAGCGACATAAGTTGAAAGCCTTCAGGATGTAGAAGATAGTATGCCCTTGGGAAATAGCTAAGAAAATCAATTAAATTGGTTTGATTGAGCTTTTTAAATTTCCTAAAGTTTAATTTAGCAAGCATTGGCTTTTAATTGTGATTTGAAGATCTCTTATTATGCTTTATTGCAAAAGAAAAAATTAACTTCAATAAAAAAGCACTTTTATGTCATACTTACTAAGAATTTAATAGATTTGAATTATTTATTTCTTAAATAAGGAACATTTTCTTAGAGATTAGGATTTATTTTCAGACAACTCTTAAAATCGTTGTAGTTTTTGTAAAAATAAAACTTAGTTTAATAATAATCCCCAACTATTCCTCGTAAAGGGTATACAACTTCAGTAATAACAACGGTAGCGGTAAAAATACAGTAAATTGAAACAAGTTTAAGAACTGAACCGACCAGTGTCGTGGTTATTGGTCACCTGTCCGCCGAGGAAGAGCTCCATCGAATACTTTTCGATTACTCTCCCCCAAAAAATGTACCCATTCGTGGACGAGGGGCTTTTTATGGGGAATGGGGAAGGAGTTTGCTACATGATTCGGCAACTTTCTTGCAACGGACCTCTGCAACTGGTAGAGAGAAAAACCCGTCGCTAAATCATCTGTTCGATGCCAAAAAAAAAATAAATAAATATAAAACCCACCTGACTGCCTGACTTTGTGTGGGAGTCTGTGGTGCAAGATTTTTGCGGTGGCTTTGAAAATTGTTTGGAATTTTTTCCCCCCACCGTTTTGCAACACGTTGATTCCTTCTTTTTGTTTGATAAAAAGAAAGTTGACATAAATTGTTTCGTACTTCTCTTTCTTTTTGCACATTTGAGGTAGCCAATATCCCAAAAAAAAACGTTTGCGGTTGCCTTTTTTAGTTGGTCGTGCACAGGAAGGAAATAAGCGCGGTTGAATCGAGTTTTTGGCAAGTTTGTTGTGGGATCTTTTGGTTTTCTTTTCATTTCTTTGGGTGTTGCATTTTGAAAGTTCGTGAAACAAGTTAATCGCCCCCGTCTTTGTCTTGATTTTATGGTAAGTTCAGATGCGGTTAGTTTCGAGTGACAAGGGAGTGATAAGTGGGTTGGCAGTTGATTAGGGGTTTTCGTTGGACTTATATAATGTTAGAGGAGATCGCTCTTGGACTTTGTTCGTAACAAATTTATATGGTTTTCGGCCTTATTTGGCATTGATGTAACGTTTGAAAATTAAACATAATGGTTACAAAAAGTGAACGTTTGTTCCACAATTAAAATATGTTGCAAAAGTTATATTTTAATTGAAAGTGTTAATACTTAAACTCAATGGGGTACTGGTAAAGCAACAAAGCTTAAAATATCATGCTATTTAGTAATACTGCATTACGCAAAAGTATATCAAGTAAGTTCCGCTAAAATAAAAATTCAATTAAATATTTTCCTAAAAGATCGCTATCTTATTTATTTATTTTAAATATAAAAGATGGTATTAGTTTCTGCTAGTTCCTTAATAGCTATAAACAGTTTTCCCATAAGACATAATGAAAATGTAATTTTTATCCCAAGAAATATTTAAATCAGTTTCCCGCATAAAGCTTAAATCTTAATTATCGCATTAAGGCCGGCACTAGAAATTTCTTATCGGCATGCCCCACGCAAGGCAATTGTTGTGATATTGCTACTTTCCCTGTCGGGTTCCCATATTAGGCATAATAACCTGAACTTAAAGGCACTTCCCATTTCCCCCTCATTCGATTTCATTAACAAATTTGCCCGCTGTGTTTGAAAAATATGCTTTAAATGCATTTAATTAAAAACATTTATGCAAATTGCAAGCGGTGGCCATTATAACAGCAACAAAAACTGAGTGCAACGACGAACAATGAAGGCAGTAAAGGCTTCCCCTTTTGCTCGGTTTTCAGCAGAGTTTCACACCATTTGCTATGCGACTGACCGCAGTTTCCCCGCCCCCTGAGTTTTCCCCTGTGGTTTTTCCCCCCAGATTTCCACCCCATCCCCCCCCCCTGGCTACTCTTTCTTGCTCATTATCTTCGCTGGGGCAAATTATGGGAAACTAGCGCAACAGTTTTTTTTTTTACCCCCACCTTATCCCCTGGAAAAAAGTCAATGCTTATGCTAATTTCTTTTGCTGCGGAACTTCCTTTGTCCCCCATTTCCCTACCCCCCACTCCACCCCATTTCGAATGCATTTTAATTGCACTTTTTCCTGCTGCTCCGCAAGAAACTAATAACTGGCAATTTATTAAAATGTTTTGCGGTTTGCCAGCAAAGTGCCGCGTTGATGTAGCGAAAACTCGTGTCTTGTACAATTTTGGACATTTGTTTTTGCCACATAAAATATACAAAAAATATATATGTGAAAACCAGCAGGGAAGACACTAACAAAAAGGCCAAGAAAATAAGCCAAGAAATGGATTTTTGCTATGCCAGCCAAATGCGTTAAGCGAGGCGTGAAAATTTCTCTACCCAACTCGCTGGCGATTTATGTGAGAATTATGTTAAATTAGCCAGCGAAGCGTGCTGTGCGACGCTTCCCCCTTCTCAAGACCCTCTTCAGCTCAAGGCAGTCTAACAAATCTGATAAATTCATCAAAACCAACAAAAAAAATCCAAGAAATTTGAAGGTAAACAAGTTGGTATCAAGTGGAGCAAGTGGGAACTAGTTCATTTTTCTGAAAAACTAATTTGAAAAGATGGTTAATGAGATTTGTCTAAAAACAAATTTATTAGCTTATCCAACTGTGATCTTTTGTATGCTTTACCTGAACGTAATTACAGCTGTATATATTAGTGTTTTAAGTGGAAGACTACTGCAAAAGATCAGAATAAGATATCCGATAAGTAATATACACGTTTTACTGTGATATTTTAGTCACAATGACGTTTCAATTCAAACTTGTTTCGAGGCAACATTTTTGGAACCTTCAAAATTTGTTAGAAAAAAATATCCTGCTTGAAAAAGAAGTATCCAACAATGAGGAAAAATACAGAGCTACCCGGTGAATCGATGAATCCTACGAGAGAATCGAGATCAAGCTCCAAGGATGAGGACTTTAGACATCTTTTAGATGGCCTCCACTTGCATATGCTTCACCTAATAGAAGACCGACAGCGGCTGCAATTGCAAGTTAACAAGGAGTCGTGTCGAGCTCGATTGATCCTGGCCAGGGTTAGAATGCACCAGGGTTGCCAACGCACTTCAGCAGAGGCCCAGTTACCAAGGGGGCGACCCTACAAGGCTCTCACTCGAGTTGCAGAGGAATCGAGTTCCTGGGGAAAGGTCTTCAAGCTCATCCGACTTCCAGTTAACCCATTACTTGGATATTTTCGACCCCTTACCAATATCTTTGGCGCACTGGTGCCGAATAGCTTGAGGATTGCGAGTCGGCATTGGGATCACTGTCTGGATCTTGCTGTCGAGTGTGCTAACATCCAAAGAGAACTCCAATCGACGATCACCTCTATAGAGAAGCTAAGATGCTCTAAGGATCAAAGGTAATCACCTAAGACGATCTCAGATTAGAAGCCTAAACCGGAAAGCTAAGTTTAAAGTAATGCTCTTAAAAATATAATAAAAAAAATTTTTATATAACAAAAAGTTATTAAAAATATTCTTTAAATTATGCTAATAATAAACAGCGATAATAAGTTTGGACCAAGACTGGGGTTACTAAGGTACAACCCTTGTTAAAAAGATAATGAATCCTTACTAGATACCATGAATTAAAAAATATTCTTTAATAACGTAAAACAAAGATAGATATAGATATATTATTCGATTTCGATTTTAAGAACAGATTGTATCGTGATTGTTACAAAACGATACAAGACTACAAGCTTGGTACACCTACGCGTTGTAACTAAGCTGTGACTTAAAGGTTTATCTATGTAAATGAACCGAGCAGTTGGCATTTCATGAATATTACTACACAACTCTTTCTTATGGCACGTTTTTAATTAAGATAAATGGCCGTGTTCCCTGAACTCCACACTGGTTTCCCCCGTGGAAGTCCCTCCGCGTTTCTACTCGATAGCCCTTGCAGTGGCTGGCATCAATTATAGTCTAGTTAAAAATAAAATCAAATGCCAGAGCAGCCAGCATTGACAACATTGTCGATTCGGTGGCTGGCCGGCCGCCCCTTCTGGGTGCCCCGCCCCCTTTTTGTTACCAAGTCGTGGCGGCGGCAATTATGCGGCATTTTCTTTGGCCGCTAGCCACAAACGAGTTTCTTCCCGCCGAGATATCTTTGTTTTCGCTGTATTTCAGCGACATGCAGCGGCAACTACAACAAAATACCAGAAATAACTTGAAAATCCATTAAACAACTGTCGGCCACAAGTCGGCCTGTGCCTGCCTGGCTAAAAAAAAGGGATAAAGATAAAGGTTTTGTCAACTGCGAGAATCGAAGGGCGGCTGTGGGGCCTTGACAAGTGATAACAATGTGTCAGGCGATGACGGCGGAAAACGTCCTTGGCTTCGATTTTCGATTTTCGCTCGGCAAACTTCAACTCTGACTTCGACTCTTATTGATTTCTGCAAAAAAACACTCTCGGGGCAAAAAGTGAAAGGCCACTGCTAGGGCTTCCATAACCTGTTTCCACCAAATATTTGTACAATTTGTATTTCTTTTGCATTAAGAAAGTAAAACCAGCTGTCGATTGAGGGAGTTGCGTGGGTCCCAAGCGGTCCAGTTCCCCAAAAAAAATAAATAAACACAGCACCATGATTGAGCAAAAGAACTGGATTTCTATACCATCGTGGGCTGCCATGGGAAACAATAAAATATTGAATATAACTCTTACTTTTTAAGCTTTAATATTCATTACTAATGAATTATTAGTTTATGAAACACCAAATATACATTTTTGTAAGATGCATTTAATATTTATTGTCAAACAAATAAATAAATAGTTATTAAGAACTAATTAACGCAATAGCAAGAGTCCCTTGTGTTGAATGCTATCCATTCCAAATAACGCGAGACTCGAGTGTAGACACCAGGAGCATCGGGCTTGGCACATCCATAGCCAAAGGACACAACTCCAGCCAGCCGGAAAATGCGATCCCTCACGATCAAGGGACCTCCGCTATCACCCTGGAAATTCAAAACGAGTAGGTATTTGTCGACTCGGTTTAATATATATAAAAAGGACGAACAGAAGGACAATTGTACCACCTTCTATCGTTTGATTTGCGAAACCCACCTGACAGGCATCCCGACCTCCGGTTTGGACCAGACCCGCGCACAACATGGTATCCACGATCATTGACCGGTACGAGGTGGCCCGGCACTGTGCATTGGTGATGATGGGCACCACCACCTCCTGCAGGACACTCGAGGTGGAGCCGCCCTCCTGGCTCAGGCCCCAACCCGCCACGATGGCCTTCTGGAAGTCGAAGTTCTGCAGCCAGTTGCTGGGCAGACAGGCGGGTCGCATTGTGTCCACCAGCGGAATGGGCTGGTCCAGTCGCAGGAGGGCTATGTCGTGGACCAGGCTCACCGGATCGTAGCCCACGTGGGCATGGGCGAAGGCCACCGACCGGGTGACTCCCAGGTGGGTGGAGCTCCTGTCCAGCTGCAGCAGTCTCACGGACACGCCCCTCATGTCCATGCCATGGACGCAGTGGGCGGCGGTCAGGACATAGCGATCGTTGATCAAAGTTCCGCCGCAGAACAGGAAGGTGCCGCGGATGATCTGCGCGATCCACGGATATTTATTCGTCCGCACTTGGGTGCCGCCCACAATGCGATTCACATTGGGAACGCCACAGGCTGCAAGAGGATTGGGATTGGAATTGGAATCGGAATTCGATGTGGTCTGGGTGGTCTCTCAGCCAGGGAATGAAAACGGGGCCAATGATTTTTAAAATACAAGGTTTTCGTAACATCAACAATTATTATCCATAAGCTTTATAAATGCTCCATGTCTAGAAGACAAAAAATCACACTCTAAATGGTCAAATTTAGAACATTTTTAAAAATGATTCAATTTTTTATGTTTTACTATTTTGTTTGCACTGATTAAGTTTATCTATACCTAGTTTTAATAAGAACAACGTTATATACATAATCGTACTATTTTCCAGACTTTAATATACCTATAAAATAATTGTTTTTTAACAGCTTCTTTGACTTGCTCAATTTAATTACACGAAGAGCCAAAGAAATATAGTCGTTGAATATGCTCACAGCACGTTTCACAAACACGTTTGGATTTAATGCATTTTCCAATAGGCGTACAATAACCGATTCAAATTCCCAATTATTAGCCGGGACCGTTTCATACCCTGGCTGGACTCGATTGGCACTACAATTTTCCCAACTCACTGCAGCTGGCACAGCGATTAACGCGAAACGCCTTGGCACCACCGCCCTCGAGGTGGGAAATCGGGGAGTTTGATGGGGAGGACGATGAGGAGGACACCGAATCCGAGGGAGTTGCACTAGACACGCCCAAGACATTCGATAAGATTTGCTGCTTATGGCCCTCAATCAGATCATCAATGAAATCCGATTGCACTCCGGGCGGTGGGCCGGAATTGGAAGTCGTAGTCGAACTCGAAGTCGTAGATCCATTGACTGGCAGAGGTGGCAATCGCGCTGGCTTCGGATAGAAATAACCGCGGGAAGGTGACTTATAATTATAGATGGCCCAACTTCGATCGCATATCGAAACGAGAGCGAGGAGGAGTAGAACAACTGGCGGATTAAGTTTCATATTCCCGGCGAACCGAACGAATCGCTTAGCAAACGCAAACTGATGGTTTGCCCAAGCCATTTAACGGTTCTTATAGGCCACAGATCCATCTTAGTATTTAAATACACATATATATATATAGCGCCAAAACATTAACAACTTAATGAGGCTCTCGAACCGTCCATCAAACTATTTTATCAGCCAAATTTCTTTGCATATTCCAAATCTTCAATCGAAAGCCCTTTATCAACACTTAACCTAATTTTGCAAAACGAACTGAACCCATTTGTCAATAAATCTGGCAAATATATTTTTAGCATTTTACCATCCCAGATCTTTGATGTCAGCGAATTGATTTCGTGTTTTGTCTTTATCAACGTTTTATGTTAATGTTCAGATCCGCTCTCTTTTCACCAGAAATATAAAAAATCACCCCCCTCAGTTGGTTATAAATCTAATAGACCACTCAAATTTCTGAATTGATAGCACCCAAGAGATTTATAACTCTTGTTTGAGTTTACGCTTAGATCCATAAATGAATTTAATGGCACAGAGAAATTGGCAATCTTTTGCACAACCCAGAAAGAAATTTAATTAAACCCAAACCCAGCAAAAGGTTGATGAGAATATTAAAGGTTAAACCGCATGTGTGGTGAAAGAATCTTTTTCTGGTCGCATCGTAATTACAAGTCATCAAAAACGTCTGACCACATTTGGTTTTCAGGTTAATAAAGGTTAATTCTGTTTGGTAAATCGGTTACACTACATGAAAAGAATTGAAAAAGTTGCGTTTCTCATAATAAAACCATATAAATTCAATGAATTAGATTAAAATATCATACTTCCTTCCCAAAAGTAATAAAAAAGCCTTCCCAACTTGGCATAATTATATCAACCCCTTTTTCTTCCCACCTAATATCACAACGGAAGTGGTCACGGAAAACGCCCATACCTCTAGTAATAATCAAAAAACCCGAAAAAGATTTCCTCAAATGAAAGTAAATTGACTTCCCCAAATCAAAAGCTTAACAAGAGACCCATGAAAACGATCAGCCAACAACACCAGGTATTCTTAAGCCGTTCGCGGGGAAAATAGAAAGTAAAAAGAACTCTCAAATAAATTGGGTCAAACTAATGAAGATGCCGATAAAGATGCGTATAATCGAAAACCCGAGCCAGAGGACTGGAAATACTTGTAAATGGGTTGATGTTTATAATCTGTCCGCTTGTTGGACCAACATCGAACCCAAAGACCTGAAAACCCCGAACCCCGAACTGCGATCAACGATACCCAAAAACAGCAATGGCACAAGGTGCACGAAAACCAGGCCCAGACTTCGACTTCGACTTCGACTTCCACTTGGGATCTGACCCCCGGAGAAAGAGCGTCCAAGAATTTGGGTCAGACGACGAAGTGAGGCGTTAGCTTAGAAGAATTGAATAGATGATGACACCAAAGCCAGAGCCACAGACTCACGCACACAGCGCCAGAAAGAAAGTCTCTTTAATTTATTTATTTATATGCAGGCCGCTAGAATCAATGAGAAGAAAGTTCTTCCATGCCAATCCAGCATCCCAAAAGAAACGAGTTTCTCTCTTTCTTCGGATCTCTCCAACTCTCTTCCACTCAGAACGAGGCTTGACTTGACTTTGAGTGGCATCTTTGAAGGCTTTCATTGAGAAAGGCCTTAAGTAGGTGCCTCAATGAGTGAATTCGCTTTAGACGGAGTATCATACTGGAGCTATGTATAGTAGGCTTAGACCAGAGTTTTATAAAGCTGAAACTTATAATCAATTATAATTTCAAAATACATGAAAATATTGAAATGGGCTATAAATTGTAGTATGGAAAT